AGGAGGAGGAGGAGGAGGAGGAGGAATAATAATCCTTGGTGCCCTTTGGGCTTGGTGGTTTTCTAGCACTTTTAATGACCCAACTAGGCAACTTCATCAGTGCTGGAGGAGTGTGTAGTTTGAAGCGGGGGGGGGAGGAGGATTGTGGGGTCCTCTCTGAGCTTGGCTGTAAGGAAGCCAGGATGACACCCCGAGTGGTTCAGGGTTTCTTTGTGGCTGCTTGCCCATCGCCAGGGATGCGGTGCCATCCTCTGCCCTCTCTCTCTCTTCCCGCAGCTCGAGAACAGCTCCGACGCTCCAGGCACAGCCGGACCTTCCTGATCGAGTCCGGGGTGGGTGAACTCTGGTCGGAAATGCAGACAGGTAGGGGCCTCTGGGGAAGGCTGGCTGGCTGGGAACGCTGGGCACGGGAGTCCCAACCTGCCTGACCGGCCCCGTTGCTTGGAAGGCAGAGGGTGAAGCGTTGGCACAGAGGAGGCTGGGCAGAAAAGGGGGCATCAACAAGGGTCCGGAAGAGGAAGGGAGGAGGAGAGGGGTAATAACAGAATAACAGAGTTGGAAGGGACCTCTGGAGGTCATCTAGTCCAACCCTCTGCCCAAGCAGGAGACCCCTAACCCTCTCCCCACCCGCACGCAGGCAGTCCTCAACTTATGACCATATTTGAGCCCAAAACCTCCATTCCGTTCAATTCCATCGCCAAGCAAGAGAGTCGCTGAGTGAGCTTTGCCCCCTTTTTAACGACCTTTCTTGCCACCGTTGTTAAGCGAACCACCGCAGTTGTTGGATGAGTCGCACGGTTGCTAAGTGAACCTGGCTTCGGGTGTTCGCGTGACCCGGGGATGCTGCAACCGTCATAAATATGAGTCAGTTGCCCGTTTTGACCCCATGATGATGGGGGATGCTGAAACAGTCGTGAAGTGTGAAAATCAGGCCTACATGACTGGGCTTTTTTTAAAGTGCTATTGTAATTTTGGACGGTCGCTAAATGAATCCTTGTGATTCAAGGACTCCCTGTATGGACAAGGAGAGGATTCGATCTGGCCGGCTGAATCCAGAACGTCCCAGGCTGGAGAAGTTTCCTCCTGCTCCTCTTCTTCGGGGAGAAGTTGGGTTGAGCCTGGCTTCTCCCCAGGAGCCCTGTGGGGAGATGGGTACAAGGTTCATACGATCACGCCTTAATCCCATCGCCCTGGAGCTGGAGGGGGAGATCTTTGTTATGTAGAGTAGACTGACCCAGGCCTTTTAATGGCCCATTGACAACGGCGGGGGCTATTAAAAGTCCGTCTGTTGTTTCCTTCCTAAAAGCACGTTTCTCCATTTCTGCTCCAGGAAAAATACAATATTCTGCCTTTTCAATATTTCCCAAGATATTTCATTTTCCTAAGAGTGGCTGCAAACTTCCTATAAAACAATGACCGGGTGTGACACCATGCCGATATGATGTGTGTGTGTGTGTGTGTGTGTGTGTGTGTGTGTGTGTGTGTGTGTGTGTAGCTTCCTCTTCCTGCTCCGTGCACCTACCCCCCAAACATTTCAGGGGAGGGGGGAAACCTGGGTGATAATCCTGGCATACCTTCAAC